GACAGCCACAGACTATTAATATATCATGAAAATCACTCTTTTTATGTTAAACAATATCTTTGACACATGGAATTATATAATTTGTAATAAACTTTGCATATTTTATACAAAGTTTAATAAGATATATATAATAAGTAAATAAGAGTCATTTACTAAAAATGATTTAAAAGAATTTGAGATAAAATAAAGCAAAATTAATTAAACTTTGAAAAACTAATAATGAACTTTGAAAATAGATACAAATTCTCATTGCCAATTGATTAACTGAATTTAAGAGAATCTTCTCATCACTATCTACTACAGAATATAGTTTTTTTAAACTGCATAGTTGATACTATTATATGATTCTGATAATTCATAAATATGATATCTTGAATGATCTCTTGACAGAAATGTATAAAATACTTCATAAGTCATATATAAAAAATTCATACCAGTTATTAAATAGAAAAAATATCATGTAACAGATAGTAAATATAGTAAGTCAAGTATGTCAATTGTGATCAATTTATTATAAATTCTAAACTATACTTATAGATGAAGTACAAAAAATTAGCTCTAATGACAAATAAGATAGTTTATCATAAAACTATAGGATTTGATAAGGTATTATAAGAATTATCTTTAGATATTATTAAAGCAAAAGTGGTTTCATTAAAGAATTTGGAAAGTCCATTAAAGAATTATCATACATAATTACTATGTTAGACATATTTTTTGATACATTATCATAAGAGTCTGAAAGTAAAGACTTTTGTATAAAAGTTTATAACATGATTCATTTGGAAAGTGACAAAATTCTGAGAACATCTGGAAATTTTCATGACAAAGAGTGATTTAGTAATATTACAGTAACTTCAGCTGAAGACCAAAGTTATTATAGATCAGATGAAGGTACTTGATATGGAAAGATAAATACAACTTGAAGAATAGTAAAATATAATTTCAAATTTAGTAATTTTGAATAAATTAATCTTCACATTTTTTTCTAAAAGGTACTGCTCTTTTTATGATTTTTTTGAGAATCAATAAAGAACTCATATAATCTTGCTATAGTTTATTGATATAATATTATGCTAAATGAGTCAGAAAAGTACAGTTATTCTTATTTATACTATATCAAAGAGTATAATATAATTCTAATAGAATCTATAAAACAAGAGATATATATTATGCCAAGATTTGACAAAAAAATCTTTTTTTATTAAATAAATATATATTTTGAAAAACTAATAGATAAAGAATTTTAAAGTCAAATTTATATCTGTAATAAACTTCAAAGAAAAAAAATAAATAATAATGCATATAATTGATCTTTTATCATTTATCTATTTAATTTCTGTTCAAAGAACTATAATAATCTGTAATTATGCTAATCATTACAGTTTTTTTGGATTACACTTCTCCAAAATTTCTATTTTTAGAATTCTGTGCAGATTTTGGATTGGTATAATCAAAAAATTAGTGATAATTAGCATATTTACTGATTATTACTGATCTGATATCTATTAAATTTACTGATATATCACATTCAGATATTGAATATAAATGATTATAATTCTTCATGAAATTTCTTTTTAGATATTTCAAAAAAGTTATTAACATTAAAAAGATTCATGTATTTTTGATTAATAATTTCTTGTAGATATATATATATATATGCATGTAGTATATGTATGAAGTATCATGTGATATACTATATGTATGATTTATGTGTATGTGTATATGTATATATGTATGTGTATGTGTGTGTGTGTATGTGAATTGTTTTTATAGTATTTCTTGTAACTTAAATACAGCTTGAAATATAAGATTTATATTTCTTGCATGAATATATTTGGTTTTTTTTTGCGTTTCTTATGCGAATATATTTTTAAGCTTGTGTTATTGACATAATTATTTCTTAATCAACATTCCATCCCCTATTCACCCTTATCCTTATTGTTTTTATTCAAAAAAAAAAACAAAAACAAAAAAAATTATCTTGCAATAATATTGTGTACGGTTGTACAACTTTATAGGTAAATTCAGATTGACATGATCTGGATTTACATAATTCGAATTGACATATAATTCACTACCCTGCTTTAGCGTTCCCCCAAATCGGGGAATCTCTCTGACTGTAGTATTCTCTCCCAAAAAAAGTGTCTTTTTTAAGGGATAAACCAATCAAATCGACAAGATCAATGTATAACGAAAAAAATTCAAAACAAATGATGTATGTTCAATATTTATTTTTCGATAACCACCTTTTTACGGTACGCTATAAAAAACGGTTAGTAATTAGAAGAGAAGCATGTACGCGTGCTTTTACGCACCTTTTATATATAAATATAAGTTCGCGGAGAGAAAGGAAGAGAGAGAATAACGCGTTTTTTCTCTTCCCTCACCTTTCAGGGAAGGAAGAGAAAGAAATAACGCGTTTTTTCTCTCCCTTAGCTTTCAGGGAAGGAAGAGAGAGATAACGCGTTTTTTCTCTTCCCTCGCCTTCTTTTTACCTTTCAAGGAAGGAGAATAAAGGAAGGAAAAGAAATAGCGTACTTTTTCTCTTTTATCTTTCATTTAAATATTTTTACTTTTATACAACTAATAATAAAAGATTTTTTGACTTTTATATAGATAATGGAGCCTCTTATACAAAACTTCGCGTCTCTAACAATATCTGATAATAATAATAATAATAATCGCCGTCATCCTACTAGTACTTTAATAGAGCCGGAATATATAAAAGCATTAAGAGAGGATATCTTTTAGTAATAATAATACCAATCGTCGTCCTCCTCTCCTTCCTCTTCGTCCTCATTCTACTCTTCTTCATCGTCATTATCACAAGTAAGAAAAAGAAAGTTTGAAGTTGATGAACTTCACCCGGGTTTCCTTTCACTTGCGCAAAAACAGTCGAATCGCGCAAATAAAAAATTGCGATCGCAGTTTCCTATATTAACTGCATCGCAAGCCAAAGAGAGTCTAATTAGGGAATTGACAACAATTCCGACAGTTGGGCTCTCTGACATTGTATTAGAAATTCGCGCGAATTCTGCGAATAATAATAGAAAAAGAAAATTAACATCATCCTCGTCCCTATTATCACCAAGAAGAACCCCACCACCACCAACAACATTATTAACATTCCCTTTATCATTATCATCTTCATCACCACCATCTCCATCATCATCTCCGTCATCAGCATCGCCACCATCGTCACCTCCATTATCGCCATCTTCATCATCATCACCATCATCATCACCATCTCCCATCATCATCATCATCACCATCTCCATCATCACCGCTTCCACTATCATCACAATCTTTTTTCCCTTCTTTTTCCGCCATCTCCTCTATTATCACCTATATTACTACCAGCTTATATAACGGATATCATAGATTCCGTTATATAATCCACAATCTTTTTATTTGAAAAATGCCTCGAATCTCTCAAGAAAAACGCTCACGAATATTCATATTACGAGAAGGTTATTCGGTACTGGAAATCGCTGCTTCAGAGCAGGTGGGCCTTGCATCGGTCCTACGAATTTGAAAAAAAAAAGAAAGAAACCGGAACCTTTGATGATCTAGAAAAAACTGTCGTCCACGTCTTCTAACCGACCGCTATGAAAGATATACTGTCCGGTTGTTAGTGACTGGACAGTGTTCTACCGCTGTAGAGGTCAAATTCAAACTTAAATCTGACCTTGTGATTGACATTTCCGTAGAGAGCGTACGGCGAATATTCCGTAGAAATGGTCTATCCTCAAAAACTAAACGCAAAAAGCCGATACTCAAAAAGACACACCGAAAACGGCGGCTTGGAAATACCGAGATTTTACGGTTGACGATTGGAGATCGGTCCTCTGGTCCGATGAAAGCAAGTTCCAGCTTTTTGGGTCGGATGGCCGTAAGTACTGCTGGGTGAAGGCCAATGAGCAACTAAATCAACGCCAAATCATCAAAAGATCGAAGTAAAAATGAATGCTGACATTTACGTTGATATTTTAAGATAACGATCTAAACATACGTCGAAAAAAGCGCGAATTTGGTTTCTTGATAATGAAATAGATTTGCCTGATTGGTCAGCTCAATCTCCTGACCTGAACCCCTAAGCCTAGTCTTTAATTTAGAAGATATCATTCCAAGAGAGATGGTATCATACGAATTTTGATACTTCGGATACTAGTGTTGAAAACAGTGTTAATATGGACTTTAACCCTGAGAATCTTGTTGATACTTTTAAATATTGAATTAGACGATTAATAAATTTATTGTTTTTCCAATTCATTTCTTTATATTTTTTCGAGAATTTACATATATAATAAAATAAAATCTATATGTTATATATAAATTTTACGACACATGTCAGTCATTGTTATGGCAATACGTCGTTAGGACAATTCGTCGTTAATATGACAATAGGCATTTTTGACGTGAAGATATATCTTGAGTTATGACATAGAGCACAAAATTTTCAATCTAAATTTTTCCGGCATAATACATACGAACGATCTTTATATTCTTGTTAAAGACAAACGAGTGGTTATGACTAATAAAATGCCTGCAGAGGTTATTTTTAAATATTTTATTAATGATGATATGGGTAGTAGGGATCGTTTAAATAGAAATGACCCCATTTCCATTAAAATTGGATTATTTCTACTCGAACATTCCATATGTGTGGTTTCTGTATAATTATCTTGGGTGTTTGGTAATTAGATACAAAATGCGATAATCTTGCGGGCATAAACGTCGAGTTTACTGCAATTAGACTATTAGTCGAGCTGAAGTCTTGCAGGCATGAACACTGCATTCAATGTTCTGGCGCTGGTAATTAGGGGTATATTACTTATCATCGTCATCAAAATGACAATCTTGCGGCATAAAGATATGTTTGTAAAAACTACGAAAAATTTCTGATTTCTGATGAGAAAATAATTATCTAATAATCTAATTTTGACTTTGCATCAACTCAACCACTGTGGCGGCAATATCAACAGCAACCAATCACAATGAACCATAAACAACTACGATGGCATATACAACCTAAAGCACCAATCGTTCAAAACATTAGATCCGTACTTGCTACCTCTACCAATCTTTTGTTTCGAACAGTGCTACGAGGGATATCTCAAAAATCTGAAGCTTCCTTGAACGCGTAAGTAAAATTTCTAAACTTTCCAAACTTTGTAATGGAGATCCAGATATCTTTAGTGTAACGCAATTTTATAAATGTAGAGCTGAATCACAAAGTGATTCAAACAAGGCTCGAAAGAGAGAACTTGCAGTTAAAAAGTCGGATGCTATATTCAGCGCTGTCAAGCAAAATGTTCCACAAGAAAAAGTGAAAATCATTTATCGGAATAGCAGCGACAAGAACCTTCAAAAGCTTGTAGAAAATAGTCCAATTGCACATGAAAAAAGCCAACCCCGTTATTACGGCATCGCGGTAGAACTGGATGTCAAAAATTATCTGAAAAATCTCGTGAACCAATTAGGACTGGACAACACTATTTTCGAAACTCTTGTAAGGAACCAGCGAATCCCTCCTGAACATCACGTCACTTTAATTCATGCCGCGGCACTCCGTAAAAGTAGATCGCGAGAATTTCAAGAATTATGGGAAAAATACAGAAACATGGTTGATAACGACTATAAACTATGCAGAGTCGAATTGTATGTCGATAAGATTGTTTACAATTCACAAATAATGGCATTGGTGTTACGAGAAATTGATCCTCCAGAAATAACAAGCATTAATAAGATCCCCCATATTACTGTTGGTACTATCAATGATAGTGTCAAACCGGTCGAATCAAATCAAATGTTAGAAGCTGCATTGCTTGTAGTTAATGGCAAGGGTAAAAGACAATCAGATGTTCAGATCATACAACTGGAAAGGGATCTTCATGTCTTCGGAACTATCAGAGGTTTCTATTAAATTGCGCAAAGTTAAGATCCTTTTGCTCTCATCGAAGATTGAATGATATGGACTCTGAAACATTAATAATGAGTGTCATTGAAATTTAGTTATGTTCGAATTTTCCTTCTTTTGAAGTTATTCTATTACTCGTTACCAAATAAATGCTCTACGTAAATAGAATCACAATCTTTTGGTGATAAAACTGTCACGAATAATTATTTTTCGCAGCAAGAAATATAAAGTGCAAGAACATCAATTTTTCTTTGTTCATTAGAGTTCATAGTAGTTCATAGTCAGATTTATTTTAGCCAAACAATATTTTATTTTGATCGATTGATCAATGATTAAATGGATTGAATTAATTAATCGAATTATTGATAGATGTTATTTTTTATCAACTAAAAAAAAAGACGCCGTGGTTTGTTTATGCATTGGTCACTGTTGCTGCTGTTTGCGTTTAATTAATGAAGTCAGATCGTTGACAGATTTTGATGATGTTGATGATGTTGATGATGTTGATGATTTTGTCGTCTCTTGTTGAGATATAGTCGATTTTAACAGATCATTGAAAAGCTGATCATGACTTGACACCTGTTCTCTAATTTTTCCATTCCTCACATCTTCCGCCTGAAAAACAGAAATTTTGCAAAATTAAAATTTAGTTTCCATAAATATCAACTGCAAAATGTCTAAAAATAAAAGAACCTTTGCATTCATTTCCACTAAGAAATCATCAATTTCATTCAACTCTTTCTTGATAACTTTTGTAGCGTTATCATCAACGTCATCCCGACCTGTTTGATCTGCTGCTATACCTTTCCCCTTACCAGAATCTTGCTGCTGTTGCTCTTCAATGCTATTTAACTGTGTGCTCAAGAAAACTTTTCGTTTCTCCAATACTTCAATTGCCTTTTGAATGTGGTCCACGGCGAGATCTTGCTCAGACGTGCTTAGTTCTAACGCAAGCGCTAATTTGTAATGAGTGTTTGATATTTGGTTTAGTGGTTAAGGTATGCATTTTTCAATTTATATATAGAACATGATATAAAGGAATCATCGTTAAAAAAGAAAAGGATATGCCTCGGCGAGTTGACGATCTTCCTCGGAACATATCTTTAATTTGATATTCAATGCCTCTCTGTAATCATTCACCGCCTGATCAAAGGTTTCTTACGTTCATAAAATTAGAGTTATCAGCAATTTTTAAATAGCTAAAGAAGATAATTAGGTAAAATATAGGCACTCACCATTCTCAAGTGAAATATCACCCAACGCAATATACACATCCCCCAGCTTAGCTTTCGCCTCCTCTGTATCAATTTTTGAGTAGATAACTCTTGCGGCATCGAGAGACTCCCATGCAACACTCAAGTCATCTGAATGGTCTGCTTCCGCTGCTTGCTCCGCATCTTCCATTTCCTCGTCTTCATCAATCTCGTTTTCGCCGAAATTTGGCTCACCCTCAAATTGGAAATTTTGCTTTTTTTCAAGTGGAACTTCAACAGGAATTACTTAAGAAGGAATTATATATGAAAGTTTATTTTGACTTTGGTAATTGTTACAAGAGTTTCCGAGTGTTGATTTTTTAGAATAGATAAGTACCATTTGAATCTTCAGTGCTTTTTGGTAATGCATCGTTCCCAAATACAGAGCTTTGGGCTATGGCATTTTCAAGTAGTGCTCTACCATATAGAACTAAGGCATCTGCGTATTGACTGGATTCTTCACCATATTGTTTACCTCTATCGAATAAATAATTAACGCGATGAGTTTTTAAAATAAGCGAATCTATAAGGACGGTCGAGAAATGACCAGCTATACGCGTCTTTTATTAAAAGTAAGTTCTTAAACTATAAAACTGTCTCTCTTAGTGACACCCTTCTCTTTTCACTTACAGTAAATCAGAGGCTTCACCAAACTTTGTAATTGCTAACTCATAGTCGTGTAAAGCAAACGCTTTTTTCCCGTCTTCAGTCAAATTCACAATATTGTCTTCCAACGCTTTTGTGTTCTCAGAAGAAGACCCTTGGGTGAGGTTTGCTGTAGTTGTTGTGGTAGTTGGTTCTACGTCCATGATTGATTTTATCTAATTGATGGTCGGTAATTTCTTGGGAAGATAAGATTACAACACACATGACCACAATTTCACTATCTGGCAGATTTGACCAATCATATTGTGAAAAAGTATTATTTTTACATTCTCCCACCTTGAAAAAATGGCTTCCGACAAAAAGAAATCACACAAGAGAAGATCCACTAATAACAACGATGATATTCAACAAACAACTTCAAGCTCTATAAGTAATGATAATAACAACAACACCAACACCACAAACGACGAGCCCCCTCCAAAGCGGGCACGCATATTTCTGAAAATTCGTAACAACAACACTACAAATCAAGAGGCGTCTACCTCAAAAGCTGCCGGATCTACTACTACTAATACTTCTTCTAACATAATAACAACCACCCGAGAAAATGACAATGCAGAGATTGAAATTGGTGACAATAGTGGTGTCACATCAATGGATATCGACGATGCACCTACTATATCACAGAATGCGATTACACCTTCACCATCCACACCATCGAATGCTACTACTTCCACTAAACAACCCATGAAATTGAAGATAAAATTTTCTACTAGTGCAGCATTGTCCTCCTCAACAGCAACGGAATCCTCTTCAATAGCACCGGCGGCTGTTGCGACGACGTCGTCAACAACGGTACCGTCAGTTGAATCGCCGTCTAATAATAAAGAAAAAATCTCTAAATCTAAACCAAAGAAACCAGCACCCGAAGTTCCAGCACAACCCGTCGAGGAGATAGTTCAAATGATAACCAGAAGACAAGCATCTTTGATGTCTGGAACACCTAAATCGTCCCCCACTCTTGCAGATCAACCAACAACACCAACACCAACACCAACACCAACGCCAGCACCGGCACCAGCACCAACAGCAACGACGATGACGACGACAACTAGGACATCATCAAAATCTCCCAAGAAAGCTCCTGCTGCTAAAAAGGCATCGAAAATCATTGCACCTGAATTACTTGACGAGCCATCAATTATTACGCGTGGTCAAGCTGCCAAATCTTTAGCATCGTCAGTTTCTGGATCTAATGGCGGTAGAAAAGATGCATCTCCAGAAGTCAGTTTTGCTTCTACTCCTTCAAAGTCAAAATCCACCGATATTAAGACAAAAGCTGAAGCAGGATCATCATCATCTGCTGTTGCTTCTCCAACTGCGAAACCAAAAACTACGAGTACTAGAAAAATCACTACTCCGAAAAAACGCGTTCCTGTCATCCCGAAACGGAAATATGAATTTAAAGCAGTAATGCTAAAAATATTGGAAGGATGCGAAAAGTAAATGTCCTTTCCTAAAAAATATGATATAGTTTATTAGTAGCATTTTGAAATTGTAATGAATTTATTTCTTTAATTTTTTTGCTGTATGCTTTAACAGAAAAGATCCCTACGGAGACTTCATTGAGCCGGTTGACACTGCTGCAGTTCCTGATTACCTTGATATTATCAAGAATCCGATGGACTTTACTACTATCAGGCATAAAATAGAAGACAACAAGTACTTGGATATTGATAAATTCAAGGTATAAGATTAATAATGTATTTTGAGGAATTATTGGAAATTTATAAATTTGATGTTTGCTTTATTCATTTATTTGTTCCAAATAGGATGATTTACTGTTAGTGGCGAATAATGCAATGACTTATAATCCAAAGGGAACTCGCTGGTATAAGAATGCTGAGAGGATTTATAACTTTGTTATTAAGGCAGTCGAGAGAGATAAATTGAATATTGAGAAAGAAGAGGCGAAAATCAAGGAATTACAAGCTGTACCCACTAATGCGCAAAAGAATAGAGTCATTCCCTCGTCGTCTAGCGTTGCACTTGGAGGCAAAGGGAAATGTAAGCGATTTTATCAGCATTTATTAAACTATTTCAATATTTTGTCTAATTAATGTCTTTATAATAGCAGCTGCATATGGACCAAGAAAAACTACAAGAAAAAGAAAGCGTACAGGAAAATATGAGTTAGACGGCTCACTTATTCCTCGTATGTATTGTTGACCAGATTTTGAACAACTGTTTCTCAAATTAATTGAATTTAATTGTTATTTTAATTATTGATAGGTCCAGAAATTCTTGAGGAGATTGATCTTAACCCACCATATTTTGGAGAACCACCCGAATTAACAGTTATTGGACAATTTGCGGGTGCTAACCCTACACGGCCTGCCGGGTTCTTGGATTACGGACCATACGCAACTCTCGGACCTGGCGTTTACCATACGCAGGATACCTTCAATTACTATATGAGAGGTCTTTTGGGTGATGTTGGCATCGCATACACATCAAGCATTCAGAATTTCATGCAAAATATGGACGATGAAATAAAGGCGGATATTAATAGTCGTCTTGACAATATCTCACTCGGAGCATTCTCAATCGATAATGCTGTCAATAATTTGATACCAAATAAAGATCATATCCAAGGGGAAGTTAAAATTAATACACCACAAGGAGAAATTGATGTTGTTCAAGAGATTGAGAACATTAAAAAACGCAAGGCGGACGAGGAGTTACGAAAAGCGGCAGAACAGGTTCTCTTAGAGGCGGATTTCTTGCGAGGATCTCGAAATGCTGCCTTAGCTGCAAGCATTGCTAGTGAAAGTATCGAAAGCTCTTTAGAAAAGAATAAAAACTTGCTGAAAGACATCATTGAACTGAGGAAAGGAGCATCAGTGGCTGTTGCTGGAAAGGAAGAGCAACTCGGTGAATAAGATTTCTTATAAACCTTATTAGTAGATGCATTTTCTCATTTTAATCATCATTCTTATAGTGGAAGAAGCGAGAGAACGGCTTATACAAGCTACGCAACAATACAACATAATATCAACTACTTCGCGGGTTCAGGTATTAATCTCTTTCTTTATCGATTTTCTCAAATGAGGGGAAATCTTTAAATTGTTCTTTACATTTACAGTCGATGCCACATGTGGCCTCAACACAATCATTCACAGCAAACAAAGGTGCGGCGTTGCTGGCACCAACTGTCTTTGGCTTTGGCACTAGCGGGCAGGCCAGCAACCCGCCTCCTGTTCTTCCAACATTGGCGGCAGGAAGAGAGCTTCCCCTTTTAACTGCGGCGGGTGCTCACGCAAGTATCCCGCGCACTGGCAGACAACGTGCCCAGTCCACAGGTAAATATAAATATAAGAATTATTGATTTAAGTTGATCTAATCTAATTTTATATTGAATAGGAGCACGATGTGCCAACTGTGGTACATCAGATACGCCAGGTTGGCGAGCCGGTGAAACTCCCGAGCAAAAGCTTTGCAATGGTATTAATTTATTTTTTTTAATTGACTTCAATTTTTACCAAAGTTTAACTTGTATTTTTCTAGCGTGTGGATTGTACTATGCGAAGAATCGGTCACACAGACCGTCTAATCTTTGGACCAACAAACATTGATTGGGCGGTCTGAGCGTGGAGAATATTCGATTTGGCAGAATATAGTGTTTTTTGAAGAAGAAAAATAAAATTTAATTATTATACTTTCTACTTCTGAAAATTTGTTTCAGAATTTTTATGCGTTGTTGACTTCTTCGTTGTTTGTATATGATGTTCATGTGTTCGTCGTTATTGATTTCTTTAGAGATTAGTCATGAAAGTTTTTTTATTCATAAACGCAACATAAATCTTAGTTATGTTTATAATGAAGAATCAGATAAAAATGCACCTATCATTTGTACCCGACGCGGGACTCGAACCCGCAATCCCCAGATTTCAGCCTTTGCTATAGAAGTCTGGTGCGTTATCCAATTACGCCAGCCGGGCAATCAATTTACTATTTATTAGAGAAATATAGTTTTTTAATTTTTAAATACAATCATGATATGCCTATCGTAGTGTTGGTAAATAGACACAAGAATAATATATCTAAATTCTCTCCAACTCATCATACGATGATCTTCTTTCAACATTAGCGTTTTTATTAGTATTTTCTTCGCTTGTCATTTCTTGTAATGCAAGTTCGGCTTCCCGGTTGTCTCTGATTATATTTGGAGTTGTGTCTTCTGGTGGAAGATTGGGTAGACTGCTATTGGGCGCGTTAACAATTTGACATTGCTCGTTTCCAAGTTCATGCCATGACCTTAATTTTTGATATATTACAGATTTTTTTGAACAAATAGCCAAAGAAAAGCGCAATTAATCACCCGTACCCACCAATTATTTGAATTATCAATATCTCCCTCGTGTGGACGATCATTTTCTACAGTGTCTTCCCAATGTTCTTTCGATTCGAGCTTTGATGACGAAGATGAAGAAGGCGATAATGGCTTTCTTCCTTCTCTTTTGGGTGGTGATGGGGGTCTTGTAACTGTTGTAGTTATTATTCCTGAGTATTCTGTGTTTAATGGCATGGAGAATGATGAAAGTTATGGGACTTGTGATTTTTTGGGGGGGGGATTTTATATCAATTTTTTGTCAATAATGACGTTTGCATGATTACTTTTATGACGAAATCAAATAGTGATGTCGGAGTTTAACGCTAATAATAATGATTTATTGTAAATATCACGTCAATTTTTTTTCTTCGTCCGAGGATCTAATAATGAGAATGGCGCGTGTCTAAGGTAATGAATAATATGTATGTTACATCATTTAAAAAAACGAAACAATACAGCTGACTCTTTAGCATAGGTTATATAAAAATTTTGGGAAACACATGTAGGTTATATTATAGATTTTTTGTCACGCGTGCACACGATAAAAAATAATGGTCAACTTATATAATCAGCGCCACCAAGCTATTATTATTTACATATATATATATATATATATATACACATATATATTATAAGTATTATTCAAGCATAAAATTAAGAAAATACAGTAATCATAAAAACTGAGATAAATTACTTCTATTGCAGCAATTTCTTCCGGAGTTGGACCCTTTCGCTTGTATTTTTCGGGTAACTGCGAATAATCAATGATTTCAGATTTTATGATTGATGATTGTTTTTGAGTTGTTACTTTCGAAGTATCTCGTTGAATTGTTGACAGGTTTTTTGCTTTAGAGGTATCAGGTAACGTGGCTCCTTTTGGCGCCGCGGGATGTAATGCTGTTTTGGTTGTACCTTTTATTTTGACACACATTAATTTCTTTTAGTAGTGATTATAGTTATGACGAATTTAATTACCGTGTGAGAGTTTACTTCTTGGACCAATAAATTTTATCAAAGGAATGTGTTTATGTAGTGCGCAAACTACTTTAGTTGAATTCATTTTTTACTAGATTATTTTTTTTTGCTAAGCGCTCTGGGGATATCGATATGATTCGATTATTTAAAATGTAAAAATCAAAAAGATCGATCTACTTTATGGGTGTTAGAATCATTAGCCAATCAAAAATCAATGATGACCTCGAAGAACGGGTTTTTTAAAAAATATTTTTTATTTTGTTACTTTGATCAAAGTAATCGAATTTTTTTTGGATAGCACATCTCAAATGTACATTTGTAATTAATTAATTAATTAGTTAATAGAAAATAAATAAAAATAAATAAAAAAACTAGCTAGTCGGAAAAATTTGAGAATAGTAATTGCTTAAGGGGGGTGATAATTTATGAGATAAATTTGTACAAATTTTGTTTGAGCTTATCATTATATACATATATAGAAGATTATAATTGTGAATTAAAATTTTATGGGCGGGGTTGATGATAATGAAAATAATTTACATGTGGTTGTGGTTTAAGTTATAGGAATGGATGGATAGATCTTAATTGTGTTGTGAGTATAAGACTAATGATTATTGAGGTTAATAAATAATGAAAAAAAATATACCAGATACCAACTAATAAAAAAAATAATTACACTTTAAAATATATATAATAAAAGATATGTATAATATAAGACATAACAACATAAGAATAGAATTCGTCGATAATGTATAAGAGAATAAAAATAAAGCAACCTGATCAATTATCTGAACACTCAATTTCATTCTGATAGAAAGCGAGACATAAAGATTTTGCTTCTGGGCTCAACCCAAGATATTCAACATTCTGCCAAACGTTATAATAATTGTCTTTTGTGATAGAGTTATACCATTTCTCGCTATCACCATCATACAAGAATTCCAAAAGCATCTCGAATGTATCCGGCGAGGGGATCGAGATGGTGACCACATCGCCGCTATTCACGTTCTCGAATATTTCACAAAAGAACAATGACTGGAGCACCAAGTATTCTTTGTGCACCCAAAATGGCTTGTCGATTCCTTCGATGCGTAGTTCGGCGAATGCGGTCGATTTGTCGCCGAGGTACAAGGGACCAAGTTGGTGAAGTTTTTCGAGGAAATAGGGAATTGGGATCTCATTGAATAATTGAAATTGCTCGTAGTTATTAGCCGTAGCTATGCTTTGGAATTCGGGGACACATTGATCTACGTTTGATGCGAGCATTTTTATTGATGATGATGATGATGATGATGATGATAAATAATTTATTTTTATTCGAGTATAAAATTTTTTTTTGGTTGTTTATCTTAATAATAAAATTCTTTTTTATTAGATATATTTTTTCTTTGCTATTTTGTTGTTGTCGAGAAAATCAGAAACATGGGTGCAATGGGCCGCTTATATGCTAATTTTTTTTTAAAAGAGATGACTTTTGCACCACCGAGAAATCTATTGTTTCCTCGCAAAAAGGTCATGTCAATAATTTAATTTTGATTCTTTACAATTGTCTTCGGACCAAATATCTAAGTGAACGGAGTTAATGATATGACTTTTTGATTAACAAACAATACTTTTCCTACGGTTACAGTTTGTATCTCTCTCTCGCGTGTGCATCTAATTATTAGGCATCCTATTAGTTAGCAAATTATTTTAGGTTAGTTAGTTAACCCACAATACAAAACAATAAAAAATGATAATGTTCAAAACCCTCCCGTAGTATTGTCATCACTCATTCCCAACAATAGTAATTTGTCGAATGTGACAATTATTCTTTCCATTTTGTTTCTTAAAAGTAAACGATTGTCAGATATATTATCCATGCATGTACTCCAATGTAATTTATAATTCTATCCTTCTGTGTGATTTGTAATTTGTGCGAGATTGCAAATCAAAATTCCCGGAGTGAAGTTTATTTAGACGTTTAGATCTGGTAATGTGATTGGGGGAAACAAGATGACAATAATAAAAAAAATAGATCAACCAAAAAATTATCCATTGTCAAGTAATCCCTTTTGAATGCGTGTTTCAGCATGAAATCCGCTGTCAAAACGCAAACGAAATCCGGTAAAAAGGTATGATTATCGGGACAAAAACTTTAAATTGGAAACACGAAAATACTCTAAATTCATCCAAAAATAGTAATTTATTCTAATTTACTAGGAGGAAAAGGAAAGTGATTCTCCGAAAGAGTGGAAACTTGAACCAGAACATGAATTTCGGTTTGAAGTAGACTTTGGAACAACGGTGAAACTTAAAGTGAGTGTTTGGGAAAGAGTTTCTCGTTTTTCTGGTTTAGGTTGGGAAAATTATTCTTTGCTTGTTTTTCTCTGTGTTTCGCTGCCGGATATTAATTTAACAAGTTGAAAACCTGCTTAGTCAATTAATTAATTTAACATTATTATGTAATGACGATGATGGTGATCTTTGCAATTATGCTGAAACTTAGATCCATTGTTTAAATATATTTAGAAAATGGATTGTTTCATCGTTATTATCGTCATCATCATTACATAACCTAACGTTAAACTAAATACAACCATTCGCTGTTCCTTGATGCATCAACCTAAAAAAAAGTAACTTACCAAAAAATCCAAATTGAAACTCTGTCAAGCAACCCCGCCGGCGAACAAGAATAATAAAAAAATTCTAGTTATTAGATATTATCAACTTGATAACATGCAAAATAATAATCATTTAGATTATGAATGAAGAATGTTAAAGAAATTTTTGATGCTATAACTATTATTTTTTTTTAGTTAATTGAAGGTACAGCAGAGATCTTTGGCACAGAAATTGGTATAGGTCCCGAATATGAATTTAGTGGTCGTAAAGTCGCCGTGTTTACCTGGCATGGTTGCACGATTGAAATATCCTTTTTTTTTAGGAATCATTAATGTCATCCAGTCGGCCATTAAATGAGACTATTATCTATTCTTAATGGCTTTGTTTAATTTATGATTATTATCACATACGAGGAAAATGTAGTGTCGAGTATCTAGCCAATGAAACACCAATGGTCAGTTATCTCAATATGCATTTAGCATTAGAGCAATGCAGAGAAGCAGCAAAAGAAAAGGGTGAATCGGGTCCAAGGGTTAGTTATCGAATTGAAGATTAAATGAAAACATTGTATTTCCAATAAGAATCAATAAAATGATATTCGTATTTGTTGATGACAGGTAATGATTGTAGGACCAGAGGATGTGGGAAAAACTTCTCTAACAAGAATTCTACTCAGTTATGCATTACGACAAGGTCGACAACCAATATTCGTAGATCTTGACACGAACGAGGCGAGTCTACATTATCAATCATCTCTCCGAAATCTGTAATCCTTGTTTTTAGTTTATCCATGGAAAATATCTTGATATTTCAATTCATCAGATATAAATAAATTGATGATGATGATGACACACACACATTCAATCAGGGAACTGTTACAATACCTGGAGCTCTGACTGCCACGCCAATCAATCAAATACTTGACGTAGAGGAAGGTTTCGGATCCTCGGCGACTACTTTGCCGTCGATAGGATCTTCTACCACACCGATAGTATATTATTATGGGTACGCGGAACCAGGAGAGAATGTCAAATTGTATAAAATACTTACCGCACGATTAGCGAATACCGTTAGTCTTCGATTAGAACAGGATGAGGATGGTATTTTATTTCTGCTGGATTTCTCGATCGTAGACTTACTGATTTAAATTCTAATTCTTTTTTTTTATTGAAATTTTTATCTTTTAGCGAAAACGTCAGGCTTGATAATTGATACTAGTGGATTGATTGATAACAATGTTGGATACGAGATATTGCAACATTGTGTCCAAGCATTTTCCGGTGAGCATTGAATTTATATTCTGCTTTTCATCCTCTATTATGACTTAATGCTTAAATTTATATTGATATCTACTAGCAAATATTATAATTGTCCTTGGACACGAACGATTATACAGTGATATGGCAAGATTATATAAAGATCAACAGGATATAAAAGTACTGAAGTTATCAAAATCCGGTGGAGTAAGTTTATAATATTATTATTTTAAAAGACTAAAAAAACACAATCGAATCTTTAACTTATAATTTTTTCTATTCGATGAAAAAATAAGGTCGTCAATAGAGACAAAACGTTTCGTCGACAATCACAAATGCGAAAAATTCAAGAATATTTTTATGGGACCTCAAAAATCGGGCTTCAGCCGTTTAATGCCTCTATTGACTTTCATTCTCTTTCTATTTATCGCGTTGGGTTTGGTATTTACTTTTTTTAATTTTATTTTTTTGATACGTCTTGAATATAATTATCTTATTTACTTTATGCTTTCCTCCTCACTAACACTCACGTACTCCCATATCTCTTATGGCATCATTAGGATCTTTGGCACCTTCATCTGCACTGCCTATAGGCATAGACAGAAAAGTCAGCGAAACACAACTTGTTAGAGTTGAACCAGACGAGACATTACGTCATTCGATTCTCGCGCTAATTACGGCTGATAGTGCTGATGAACCTGCTTTATTGGAAGCGAATGTTGCTGGATTTCTTTATGTGTATGTGTTCTCGTTATAATTGTAATAATCATGTTATTATCATCACCATAATCATTAATATTAGGATTTCCATTATCCATATGATTTTATATTAGTTCAGAAATTGATAATGTTAAACACAAGATGACCATTTTGTCACCTTGTCCTGGACGTCTACCAAAACAGTATGCTCTAATTGGTGGTTTTAAATGGATGGAGGCTTGACTTTTTAATCTGCATGCTTTTTATTTATGTTTGAAACAAATTTGAATGTTTTTAGTCATTAATTTCTTGTTTACGATTAAAGACTCTTAAATGTGATCGAGAATTTTTCTTGGCATAGCTTATTTATTCACTTCGAAAATTTTTTTGATTGATTTTTATTACATGTACTCCGGCACCTACCTGTCTTTTAAATTTTTATTTATTACAGTATACATGTATAAAAAATCTTCTAACTAATAGCGATTATTTCTTTTTGCTTTGAGAAACTTCAGATAAGACTTGCTCCATTGCGCGCACTGATGGTTGGTTCATTGCAGTCAGAATTATTTTATCCGGCGGGTCAATGGCTATTAGCAAAATCTGAGGTTGGTCGACGGTGCAAATCTACAAGTGAATCAACTTTCTCAGAACCAATCATTTCAATTAAATCATATTCTAAGATAAATCCGTTGCCTTCACTATTGCCTTCATAGTTTTTATGAAATCACGATCTTCCCAGAGTGGTAGATCAAGCTTATTCGAAAACTTTAATCTCTCAGGATAAAGACCATTTATCAACCTATTATATTCTGATTTATAAACTGTGCTAATCATTAACAAAGAATGTTAAAGAATACAAAATTACAAAAAATTACAGAGGAAAGTTTAAAGGTATATATCAGATTTATTTGTTTAAGATAAATATTTGTTGTTAACTTTAACGAACAAGTTATTTTACAGCGTGTACCCATAAATCTGCAGATGTGATCAAATTTTTCTTCAAGTTCTTTGAAATCTTGAGTTTTCTTTTTAATTATTTTGATAAATAAAATAAAACTCAAACTTATATAATAAGCTAAATAAATTTATGAAATTTTATGAAATTTTAACTTTAATATTAATTATCATCTAATATATTCATTCTTTACATTTTTTTTAATATTTTTAATTAATTTTATTAAAAATATATTATTAATTTTAATTCAAATTTTATATATTACATTCTAGAGTTAATCTTGAATACAAATATTAATTAATAATTTTTTCAAATAATCTTTCAGAAATGCTTAATTAGATTAGGATTAGATAATTAAATAAATAATTAAGTAAATAAATATTATTATTATTATTAATTAATTATATATAAATTTTATTATATATTTCAAATTATATTAAAGAGAATACTAGATATACTTTCATATTTGCTAATAGTTACAATTTGTAAATAATAAAAGATATTTTAGTAATAATTTTAAAGAGTTTAATATACTTTAATGTAAGCTTTTAATTATTTTTTATTTATTTATAAAATTTTTTATATTATATATAGAGAAAAGAACTTGATCTATAAGATTAAATTCTTTATATTGTTGTGATATGAACTTTTAGTAGAATATTAGTTAATTATATTATTGATCACTTCATATCACAATATGATTGGATGA